CATTTCCACGCTCCTGTGGCAGTTAAATTCAGTCTGAAAACTGAAACTGAAGCTTACTGATAAATTTCACTGCAGGTCCACAGAGTCTCAATTGTTAAAATCCACAGTCCATTATTTCAGGAAAGAGCTAGACTTTCAGCATAAGAGACCAAAAAGAACTTAACTTTTTAGTACAGGACAGAGAGAAACAAGGGGCAACAAAAAAGTACACGTAACAGTGACCTAAATAGAGACAGCAAGGCAGCGTCTCAAGTGTTAGAACGGTAAAAAGGATCAAGAGATTTAAGACTCTTTACCCCTTCCCAATTAAAAAAAATGAGCCGTGAGATGATACCCAAGTCAACAGTCACTATAAAGGTATTTTATACTCTCTTATGATACGCATCAGCCAGATACTGGCCTAAATATGTGGCAGCCTGATCTAGCACTGCAGTTCACACGCATCAAGAAGAATAACTTCTACCCCAGATTCCCAAGTCATTAGGTCTATTTTTCAATGTTTAGACAGAGCTGTTTTAAATCTCCAACTCTTCAAGAGGCAAATAAGCTGTCACACCTAATCCAGATACAACAGACAACACAGAGCTCCTCTCTGCTCGTTCAGCAATGGTACGTTACTGACAACATGTTTGCTCCTCCAAAGATATTATCAAAATACACAACCTACACCATTTACAATAATTATCTGCTTGCGCTACGATATCTCAGGAGCCACGTTTTCAGCTGTGGATCTTCCTCCTTAAAGTAAGGCCGGAAAAGTGCCTTTCCAGGAGCCATGTGTCACCCGTTTCTCCCTCCCAGGCCTCCCAACAGTTAACCAGCACGGCCAGCATTCCACCGCCCGCGGGGCAAAGTCCAGCAGCAGGAGCGAGGAAACCGGCTGTGATCACAGTTCAGCTCCCCTCTGATAGAGGAAGAGCATTTAAGTACTCCTGTGAGGATGGTGGATATTTGCAGGTAATTAAACCTGAAGTCAGTCACCTGTGTTTGAGACACGTAGGAAAGAACATCACAATTAGACCCTTCGTAAGGAGACCGACATTCCTGCCTGGTGCATCCATACATACACAGATCCTTACTCATACCTTAACTCCAACCATCTTTTCTTTCCAACAGTTGAGTTCATTAAATCCAAGTATTTCTACATGTTGAGTCATAAGGAGATAGAGTTTTCTGGCTGCTGCTAGCGGTGGGTTTATCTTTTTTCTTCTTTAAATACTAACTGCAGTTCTGAGTCAGAACCTGACTGGTTCATTCTGGGAGTTTTGAAGCGAGTTTCCATTTATACAGTAGCCTTTAAAAGCCAACTTTCTGCCTTACTCCTCCTCACACTGAAACCAACAAGCACACAGCTGCCCCGAGAGAAAAAGCAGATCGTGACTAATCACACCAAGGAACCACGAGGAACCATCACCGCAACCGAGTGGAGGCCACTTCTACGATCCTCCCTGCACTGTAACACCTCCAGCCTGCACCCTTGCCTGCACCCCAAATTCCAGACCTCCCCGGCTCTCAGTAACTAGGGTTCCTCACCCACCAAAGCACTCCCTGAGCAGCAAACCACAGCCATTCCACACCACTCCCTGTCTCAGGGCCTTCCTGTAGGTCACTCCAAGCACCCTCAGCAACACCAGTACTTTCTTTAGCCACTGCCCCAGCCAGACTCCATCAGCTCCCCCCCTCCAGCTCGAGCAGCTCCAAATCCCACAGGGCTGCCCTGTATCTACACAAGCCATGGCCTCAGCATTCACAACCCTGCCCCCAACTCAAACCCCAGGAAAACCACCACATCCTGGACACCCTTCCTTTTCCAGCTCCACATGCCCCCTCCAGCCTGAAAAAGATCCCCCCTCCCAGCCTTCCCCCCTTTTTTTTTTCCAGCCTAGATCCCACAAAAATTCTTTACCCTTTACAGACCATCTCCAGGCCTAACACAAGGCTGCCCCCCCCTTCCCCCCAAAATAACCCTCGCATCCTTTCTCAAACTCTTCCCCCATCCATACATCCCCACAGTAATAAGTAACCCCCCCTCACCCCAAACCAACCCCTCCAA